GGGGGGGGGTATGGCAGGCCTGCAGGGCTGGGGGGGCCACGTGCCTCAGCAGCCTGTCTGATTGACTCAGGCTGCTCCTGAGATGGAGGGGGGCGGCAGCCCCCCTGTCCCCCGTCAGTCCTCGGCTCATGGCCCTTTGACACAGTATCTGTCATTGACCAGGCTTTTCAGCAAGGATTATCTGCCTCATTTTGGTGTTTTCCAAATAAATTCTAACAAAAAGCTTTGATGGCCTCGGTCAACATTAAGTTTTTAATCCAGTTAGATATGTGAAACCCCCCCCCCCCATCGCCTTAGTTGAAATTGCAATTACTTGCCTCGACCACTATGTTCTACGGTGGCACTTTGCACTGTTGGATAAGCGGTTTCTTGGCACCTTATAGGCAGACAAAGTCATTGGTTATGTGTGCATCAGATACACTATATGAACAAAAGTATTGGGACACCAGGCCATTACACCTACAGGTGCTTTTATGACATCCCATTCTAAATCCATAGGCATCAAAATGGAGATTTTTGATGGGCTTGAGGTCAGGGTTCTGTGCAGGGCAGTCAAGTTCTTCCACACCAAACTTACCCAACCATGTTGGGTAAGTTTGGTGCTTTGTGCACTGGAGCGCAGTCATGCTGGAACTGGAAAGGGCCTTCCCCAAACTGTTCCCACAAAGTTAGAAGCATAGAATTGTCCAAATGTCTTGGTATGCTGAAGCATTAAGAGTTCCCTTCACTGGAACTAAGGGGCCTAGCCCAGCCGCATCCAGTGCCACGCCATCCGACGCTTGGCAGTTCGCTTGGTCATGTGAAGCTCGCATGCAGCTGCTCGGCCATGGAAGCCCATTCCATGAAGCTCCCGGCGCAGAGTTTGTGTGCTGGGGTTAATGCCAGAGGAAGTTTGGAACTCTGCAGTTATTGAGTCAACAGAGCTTTGGTGACTTTTATGCACTATGCCTGGAGGCCGCGTGTTGCTACTTTACATGGTCTGCCGCTTCATGGATGATTTTCTGTTGTTCCTAAATGCTTCCACTTTGTAATAATACCATTTACAATTGACCGTGGAATATCTGACAGGGAAGAAATTTCACAAACTGACTTATTGCAAAGGAGACATCCTACCATAGTACTACTCGTGAATTCACTGAGCTCTTCAGAACCACCCACTCTTTCACAAATGTTTGTAAACCTGACTGCATGGCTAGGTGCTTGATTTTATTCACCTGTGGCAATGGGTCTGAATGAAACTCTTGAATTCATTGATTATGGTATTTCATTGATTATGGGGTGTGTGCTAATGCTTTTGTCTATGTGCACGTGCTCCGCCTATGAGTAAAGGAAATTTTGTGTATGAAAATAGATGAAATTTATATTTTAAGAAATGTCACGAGTTTATATTGAACAGAAAAAAACCTTAATGGTTAGAATGAAAAACTCAATTAGTGACTTTCTCAGATAGGAGAAACTTTGACATTGACGGTGCCCCCTGATTTAAGTGAGTTGAGAGTTTTTCTGAGCGGCAGTTTGTGAGGTTAATGAACTGGTGAGCGTTGGTCCTGTACCTGATTTTCGGTGGCGTGAGTGGGCTGCTTTTAATTTGCTGTCTCCAGGGCGATAAAGTGAAATATTTATTGTGGTTTTAATGGCTGCGGTTGCCTGCCAGTGCTGCCGATCTTTGATTTTGGGGGGAGAGGACCTGCGAGTTAGTCTCTAGCCTGTGTGCTCAGGCAGGGCTACCTGAGGTGGAACCAGGCCCACGCTGGGTTACTCTGGTTTTTACTCATGCACCCATCCTCACAAACCCACAAAAACTCGGGGAGAATATGCAAACCCCACACAGAGCCAGGGGCAGGATTCAGGCCTCACGGCTAATCACTAAGCCTCTTTGTAAAGCACTGCTCCTTGTACATTTAGTTTAGCTCTGCACAGTCTGAACTGAGTTTCCGGATTTGACCCTGAAAACCTCACAGCCAGACATAGTGAAACCCTTTCAGAATTTTTCACCTTCAGTTTTAGTTGTAAAGTGAGAGGTACCTGCTCCGTAAAAGCACTGTTTCCCTTCATGTGTGGGGCTGACCCTCGTGCTGCCCCCCCCCCCCCCCCCCCGCCCCCCGCCCCCTCCGCCAGCAGCGTCTCTGACCCTGGCTGACCTCCTCCGGCTCGTACTTCGAAAATGCAGAGGAAACAATTTAGTTTAATCGGAAATGCTTTCGGCTATTTATCTGCATTCGTGATTTTTTTTTTCACGACGAATTGTGAAACGAAATGATGTAAGATGTGGTCATTTTAGCATTCTTTAAAAGAAGAAAAAACAAACCAGATATTTCTGTGGCCGACAGGGAGTGCTTTTCCTGTGTCTGCAAAACGGGAAGCGAGTAAATGAATAAGGAGGAAACAAAGAAATAATGTAATAAATCTCTCCATGCTCCTGTTTTCCCTCAAACTATTCCCCCGTCCCCGATTCTCTGCTCTCAAATATAAAATCAGCCAATGCAGTCAGCAGTGAAATATTTCACTGCCGGGCCAATATTTAGTGCCATCGCACATTTTCATGCTTCTCCACAGGGGGCATAATGAAGTATTGACAATTTGATTAAAAAAAAAAAAAGAATTTAAATATTTTTTATTGATTCATTCCAGGCCACAGCTGGACGTGTGGAAAAGGGTTGCAGGAATGTGGGAGATGGACAGTGAGGGATAGAGAGAGAATTAAAGGTAAAGAGGAGGTGGGCAGTGCACACATCAAAGATGGAAACGATATATTGGAAACAAAAGACAGTGAAGAAAATGCAGCCTAAGGCTTGCAGATTATATTGGCATCTGGTCAGAAACCTGACCATGCAGTTAGTGCCTTGGTTTGACCACAATTCATTGTGTTTTTCCAAATATACTAAATGACAATAGATACCACCAATACGACATCTGAAGACGTGCATTTGCTTATTAATTAACCGTCCGTTCATTGCAGGATGAAAAGGCCATGGTTCTTCAGAACCTTATCATCAGATACTCTGCGAAGTACAGTACAGACGCTCCTCTACTTACGAACTTTCAACTTACAAACTTTCAGACATATGAACGAAGAGGAGCATAAGTCCAGAATGTGTTCTTTGGGCTCCCGTTTCCTGTCCGCAACATCATTTTTTTTTTTCTGTGCGCCAATTCCGGTTAGTGCGACTTCTGGCCGCTACTCCCGCCGCGCAGCAGCGTAGCGTGCGTACTCCCAGCATCCTAGTTCTTTGTATACCCTTAAAATGATGTTGAATAACGACTTACGAACATTTCAGGTTACGAACGGCCGTTCGGAACGTATCTCATTCGTAAGTAGAGGAGCATCTGTACTGGCATAGCCTCGTGGTAGTAGGGGCCGTTAAGACACATAGTGATAATGAACACTAATCGTGTTTCCATTAAAGTTGCACAAAAGTCTACACAATGAAATTGCAAATAGGGTTTTTTTCTCCATTAATGTCATGCAAATAATATTTGCTATTTATCATCCGGCGAGATTTAGATCCATGTCTCTTAATTAAACACAGTGTGTGTCTGCGCCTAAAATGTGTCCTGCTCTTCTTATGCTCATATTGACAACATGTGGAGGGTTATGGGATGTGAAGTGAGGTGAGACTGCTATGTGTGTCGCTCGTAATGTGCAGAATCTGACTGTTCTCATCCTGAATCACCGCGTTCACTCAGCTCAGAAGGCGATCACCATATGAGTTATTTTTGTATACCAATGAATGATGTCCCATCGGTAATGCAAATTCAGTTGTCATTGTTTTTAATATAGTATTCTGCACAGAAATACCATATGTAACTGTATTTAGTAATTTGCAAATTCTGTTCCTATTGCAGTTTTACAAATTATACTTTTTTTTTTTTTTTTAACCATAAAAACAACCTCAAGTTAACCTAAAGATTCTGTCACGATATTTCTTCTTGTTTGTGTCTTCTTCATGACTGGTTTTCCAGGTTTCATTTCTCAAGTGGGCTGGGCATTGTGGGGCTCTGTGAATTCGGGCACTGTTCCTGTGATCAGAAGGTCACTGGTACTTGGGTCGAGTGCCATAATGTCACCATAGGGCCCTTAAGCATGACCCTTAACCCCAGTTTATCTCTTTTGGATAAAAGAATCTGGTTGGTAGGTAGGTAGGTATTATGCTCAAAATCGGATGGAAACGACATTACAGATAGTTAGGGACTATCTATTGTCTGTTTAGTTGGGTAGCAAAGTATTGGTTTATGTCTTAGGTTGGGTAACTTACATGAAGACATTTATAGGATCAAGATATGAAAACATGCCTTGGGGAGTTAAGGTTACGATTTTCCCAAGCATAAAATTGTCTGCTCCTACCAATTGTTTGGGCTAGTGGCAAATGAGGAGTATGTTCTTGAGACTACTGGGGGTTCTTAAGCGTGTGTCTGTGTTTATAGGGCTTCAAAGGTTTTATTAGGAACAAGTGAAGCAGATCAGGTGGAGCCTTAAAATTGGGCAGCCTGAGTGATTTATGGAAGGCTGTGGCTGAAATGTCTCTTCCTCTTCTGGTGTTTTTTTTTCTGGGTATGATTTACTGCTTCATAGGTGAGCATTTTTGGATCAGTGTGATTATTGGACGTAGTGTTTTTTTATCGTACGTTTTCAAGTTGCAGTCTTCATTTTGTAGATGCGACATGTTTCTGTGGTCGTTGGCTTTGTGCCCCCCAGTTGCTAAGGGAAGGGGGAGTTACATCATTAAACTAATTGGTTTAAATGTATTTTTCAAATCATGGCATGCAGGGAGAATTGCATTATCAGCTGGGTTTGGGCAAGACCTGTTCAGTGCACAACAATGAAGTAAAAATACAAAATGGACATGCCTCTTCGCTTCCTGTATAAGATAAGATTTTAGATCAGGGTTCTTCAACTCTGGACCTCGATTCCAAATCTAGGCTGTGTTTTCAGTTCCCCCAGGTACTTGTTTAATAATGACTGATTCTGATTGGTCAGAGGCTTCACACCTGACTGACAGGTAAAGGAAGGCTGGAAAACCAGCAGTGCTCGGACCTCGAGGACCGTGAGTTGAATAACCCTGTTTTAGATGAACATGAATCCATGCCACATGAAAGATCTGGCTTTTGAATATCGTCAAAGAATGGTCATGACCGAGGCTAGGAAACTATGAAGCTGATGCTCGGAATGTTTCCATCCTGAATCACCGCGTTCACTCAGCTCAGAAGGCGATCACTATATGAGTTACTTTTGTAAACCAATGAATGATGTCCGATCGGTAATGCAAGAAGTGAAAATACTACCATGTACTTGTGCTGTGTTTGATTTTAGAAGAATGTTGTGCAGTATAAAAGGTTGCATATGTTGAAATCGTCCATCACCTGTTTGTAATGGGATTGATCGAAACTGGGAAAAGTTCTACCGGGATCTAAGAAGCGTTTAGATGTTAATTATCCAGCCCCTTGGAATACTGATGTCTCTATTAGCAGACAAAAAAGAGCATTCGGTATGTGAACACCAGCGAGTGCCGAGTAATTAGACTCATGCCTAATTGTGGTTTTAAGGTTGATTTCTAATTTATTGTCTTACTGCTGGATGTGGACAATATGAATGAGGGGATTAACTGTAGTGTTAAAGAGAATCTAGGGACTTCAGAAAAAAGGACCTTTTCCATCGTGCCGTGAATTTTTACATCCATTGTGTTGGAGCGATTCTAACAGTAGCGTAAGGTGTGGATACAGTAGGAGAAAATGATTTGGTGATATGGTTCGTGGTGAAATTTAGGGATGTGTTTTTGGAAAAATAGTAGGATCCCTTTTTCGATTGAGCCAAAACAACAAAACATTGCTTAATTTTGGGTTGTGAAAAGGAAATTGCAAACTGACATTTAAACGATTTCAGAGGAATGTGGGAATGGATTTTAATTTGTAAACAGCTAAGAAGTATGTTCTGCTTCATCCTGTGGACGTCAAGAGATAATCTACAGTTTGTCAGCAATATGAAAAAGATCACAAAAAAAAAAGGTTTTGACTGTGTACTGCAGAAACGGAGCGGCACTGATAATGGATTTCCTATTTTGTATTTGTGTGTTCTAGAAGTGTCTTTACTGCCACAAAACCACGAAGGGAACCCGTGGCGCTTGCGTCCAGTGCTCCTTTGAGAACTGTTCCACCTCCTTCCACGTGACTTGTGCACATATCGCCGGGGTGCTCATGAAGCCGGCTGATTGGCCATATGTGGTGTCCATCACCTGTCATAAGCATAAGCTGACCAGTCAGAAGGTAGGTGGGTGTGTTGTGACGACATAGTTTTGTATTTTAAGTACACAGAAAAATTTGAATGTTCTTCAGTATGTCTTTTTAACATAATTATTAACAAGTGAAGTCAACATTTGAGTCTCCCAGAGAATACCTGATACTGTAGAGGATACTCTAACTATGTTTTTTTGCAAAACTGTTCCTACCAACATCTGTTTTTGGGTCTGGTGATGCAAGCCAAAGTAAGACTTCTGATCAGTGTAGGAATATGAGTTGTTTTCCAATGGCAGTTGGCACTCAGTTTAAGATTCTAGGGAGTGCTGGTGATCATTACCTGCTGAGATGGGATTTAAGTAAAACAGCACTTCTCTGATCGCCAGTCTTCTTGTGGTCAGAAATGAAGGGCAAAGTTTTATCACGTTTTCACAGTCCATATGCCAGCCTGATCCAGTTCATTTATGGATTGGTCTGGAGATGCACTTCAGCAGCTGTTCAGACAAATTGGTGGGTGCATCTTTATGGCTGTATTCTAATTCAGGGGCCGCATCTTTCGAAGGATGCAGTCTTTGAAGGCGTAGCCTTTGTAGGTTGTTCTTTGAAGGTCGAACAAAAAGTGTCAATTGGGATGGGCTTGCTGTCACCAGCTGTTCCTGCCCTTACCTTTGGCGCTCCTGTCACCTGGCTGGGACACGCCCACTTTACCTCTGAGCAATGAATCTTGGGATATGTTGGATTACGAATTATCCAGTGGGTGGATCCTTTATGACTTGGCAAAAGTAAGATGCATTACTAGACCGCATTTGAAGGACCCTTCCAAATGGGACAGCGTTGTCACGCCGCTATGACATATTTGAAGGACCCTTCCAAATGGGACAGCGTTGTCACGCCGCTGTGACACATTTGAAGGGCCCTTCCAAATGGGACAGCCTTGTCATACTGCTGTGACACATTCGTCTTTGAATGCAGCTCTAGAAGGATGTAGTGCCTGAATTCATACGTAGCCAATAAGTGTAAGAGTCCTGCCCAAAGTCATACACTTTTAGCGGCATAGTTGTTGGAGTTGCGTGTAGCTACCGAGTGACTGTGTCTCCACCCTGATATATAGATAAATGAGTTACATTACTTGCTAATTGAGAATTGTGTTTTTATTTTTCTTCTTTCTTGTCACCTAGTCACGAACACGATCCCGGGAGCTATCCTTGGGCCAAGAGGTGATTGGGCGGCACAGTAACGGCAGGTACTACCCCTGCACCATTATCGGCCGGGCCGAACAGACGTTCTATGAGGTCAACTATGACGATGGCTCCTACTCCAATAACCTCTACCCTGAGAATGTCGCTGTGAGTATCACTCATACCTGTATACCGTGTCTTTCTTGTTTGTCATGGCTGTGTCAGTAGACACGGGAGTCTGGTTCAGCTTTGGCCTAATCACAATCCGTCTAACCATCTTTACAGAGCCAAGACTGTCTCCATGATGGAGCCCCTGAGATCGGAGAACTCATCCTGGTCTACTCTATAGATGGTAGTGTTTTGAATGCCTCCTTTGTGAGGGAGCATATCCACAAGTTCTATCAGGTGAGGCTAGGACCTGTCCTCCCTCTAGTTCTTCATGTCCTCACTATCTCGTCCTGCTCAACAAAATCCTTCATGTTGCCGGAGGTTATCAGCTTGGGGTTCAGCTCCGAATTGGTGGGAAGTGGCTTTGGCCTGAAAATGATGGACTGGATTTGACCTGATCAATCGACAATCCTCAATTGGGTCTTAGCTGTAGTGCAGTTCTACAGGTCTGAAACCTGTCAGTCATTGGCCTCGTACTTATCCAAGGTAGCAGTGTATTCCAGGGACTTCTGATGGGGTTTGTTATGCATATTTTAAGGTGGTTGCTGCGCCTGTAGCTAAGAGTGTAGCATTTAAGACAGTGTAACATAGATGCGTTTACCTGCTATAAATGTTCAAGGGGCTGGAGGGTCTCATGATTGTAGCATGGGGATGTCCCAGCACAGCCATGCTGATGGACACTGCAAGTCCTCCTCTTCTCAGTGGTCTGCAGCGATGTTTCAACATCGCAGCTGCTCCGCAGACCCTGTTTTAATCATTTTTTTCTTAAAGTTGTTTTGGTTTGTTGCTTTGGGTGGCATGACGGCTCAGTGATGAACACTGATGCTTCGTACCTGCAGGGTTGGGAGTTCGAACCCCACCTCTGCTGTGTGTGTGTTGGGTTTTTTTTTTGCATGGTTTCCCCATGCTATGTGGATTTCTTTCGGTTTTCTCCTGCATCTGCACCTCTTATTGCTGTGTCTGTCTGTCTGCACCTCTTATTGTTATGTCTGTCTGTCTGCACCTCTTATTGCTGTGCCTGTCTGTCTGCACCTCTTATTGCTGCGTCTGTCTGTCTGCGCCTCTTATTGCTGCGTCTGTCTGTCTGCGCCTCTTATTGCTGCGTCTGTCTGTCTGCGCCTCTTATTGCTGCGTCTGTCTGTCACTTGTATTCCTGGCTCTCTCAGGTACTTGTTTGTTGTTTTAGGCAATTTTGTAGCTCCTTTTTGCTGATCTTTTGTGATTTTGCTTTTCCGCATAAAGCATCTGCACGGTAGAAGAATCTGAGACAGCAGAATTGCAAATTGCACCTTAGCTGCATTTCGGCCTCATGGCGTACCCCGGTTGGCCCTGGGCCCTTGGTGTTGGCACGCCTTCCTTCGGCAGCTGGTTTTGTCCACTGATACTTTAATTGAGCTGGATATTTTATTGAATTAATTCAGCGGTAGAGCAGCAGGTCTCTCTCCCCGCAGCCCTAAAGCCAGCACACTGCTGTTCCAACACTTTGTGTCTGTCTCACTCCCCTCCCCCCCCCAGGTGGAGTTTCACGACCACACACAGATGACCCTGAAGCGCGCCGACCTGCACAGCATGGAGCAGGAGCTGCCCAAGAGGGTGAAGGCTCGCATGGTGAGCCCTGGGGGAGGGCCTGAGCTGAGACTGCCCCCCCGGGGACGTCAGCCAGCGCGCCGCGTGGAGGTTTAACGTCGTCGGTGTTTCACCATTTTCCCCTTGTCCTCTTGCAGTCCTTGGGTGATGCCGTCCAGCAGCCACCTGCCATCTGGGAGGGTGAGGCCCAGTCAGCCAAGCGGCCCCGTCTGCCCGCCCCCCCACTGGCTCCGGCCACCCCCCTGCACCCCTTGGACTCCGCTGCCCCACACACCTCCTTGGAGTCCAGCTTAGCCCTGGCCGTCGCCCCCAGCACTCTGGACTCCCCAGTTTTCACTACAGCCCCCTCTCTTGCCCTGCCTCCCACCCCCGCTCCCGTTTTCGGCAGTTTCCCTGACCCCACCCTGACTAGCTCCTCCCCCTGCCCCCCCTGGCCTTTTTCTGCTGCGGCCAGCTATGCGTCCTTCATGCATTCCCACCCACAGGGGCACTATCCTCGGGATGACGACTCCAGCCCCATGCTCTAAATTTCGGAGCCTCAGAGCGCCCCCTGTCTGCAGGCCAGACGGCTTCCTGACGCCGAAGCAGACGGCTGTCGCCTGTCAGGAGGCACGTTTTATTCAATGTCTCTGTTGCTATTGGTCGTTCCTCGTCTGACACCCCCCAAAGTGATAAGCTGAGCCCTGCCTGCGTGTCCTTTTACGGAACTGCTTCCAGACTCCTCCCCTTTTCCACTTATGACATCACTAACAAATCGAGACGGACACATTTCGTTTGTGACCTGCTAGCATTAACTGTTTTATCATGGAAAAAAATGAAGAAAAACAAAGGAAAACAGTAAAAACAGAATTTATTAGTCCGTGTACAGTTTCAGTAATGTATTTTTTGCGTGAGCCTTTTTTAGGTGTATTTGGGGGGATTAAACAAATATGAAATATTCTTGGCTCAGTATAAATGAAATATTTGTACAAAGGAAAAGATTTTTTTGTGAAGCGATATTACGGATTGTGTAGAGACACTCTCGTGATGTGATACTGGCTGTATTATCCCCCGTTTAAAATGGGTATATACCGTTTTTTAAGTTCAGTTTCACTCCGACACCAGTGTAGGACATATGGGCTGAGACCGTTGTCATCCTGTAATGGAATGGGAGACATGAGCCTCTTTGGCAAGGTGCTATCATGACCTGTGCTCAGCTGTATGCAGTGATGTTTTTTTGTGTTCTTTGGTTTCAGTAGCATATTTATTTAATAGTAAAATACTGTATGATGAGAGATGACAGCACTTCATCCGCATCAGGGGTGGTTACACTCTGCCTGTTGGGCTCCAGTTTGGCTGCCGGTATCGTGTCTTTATTTATTTCGTTTTTGCCTAACTCTCGTCATCTTTGCGTTCTCCTTGATGGACTGGCTCACAGTTTGCCCTCTACCCCCCCCCCCCCGCCCCCCCTAATATACAGCAATTAC